CGGAGGATGGACTTGGGTACTCGCTGGTGGGGCAGGGGCAGGTACCAGCGAGACTTATGGCACAGTGTCGAAGCTTCGCTTCTGGTTTGGTGGTGCGTCTGGGGTTCTCGTCGTCACGACAGGGCGCCGCTCGTAACTCAGGAAGGAAAAAACACACAGACACAAGTAATCGTCGATCCCCCCAGAAAATATGGGAAAATATTGGAAGTGGGGGGGGAAGACAAAAACCCAGAACGTATGGGAAAATCTGGGGAATACTTTTATTCCCCATATCCAAAGATGGGGTTCTTGTTATTGGCGGACCGCGCCGGAATGACACAGAACAGGACAGAACACCACACCCATCACTCAGACACACACGTAAGTTATTCCCCATATCCTAAGATGGGGTTCTTGATTCCCCATATCCAAAGATGGGGTTTTTGATTCCCCACTCACTCATCACTCAGACTCACTCATCAAGACTCACTCATCACTCAGACTCAGTCCTCACTCAGACACACCACTCATCACTCAGACTCACCACTCAGATTCACTCATCACTCAGACTCACTCATGCTCTCTCATCACTCAGACTCAGTCATCACTCAGACTCAGGCGATTCGCTCGTCTCAGCAATCTAAGGGGGGCGGCGGGGGGGTATTTCACGGGGTCCCGTTCGCGGAATTTTGTGGGGATGTCTCAGGCGGTTTGGCCATTTTCTGATCCAACATGTTTCGTTTTCGGAGCAGATTTGGAGGATGTCTCAGGCGATTCGCTCGTCTCAGCACTCTAAGGGGGGCGGCGGGGGGGTATTGCACTCGGCCCCTTTCGCGGAATTTTGTGGGGATGTCTCGAGCGGTTTGCGTGTTTTCTGTGCCAACATCCTTCGCTTTCGGAGCAGATTTGGAGGATGTCTCGAGCGAGGCGCTCATTTTCACGTTCCTAAGGGGAGCGGCGGGGGGGTATTGCACTCGGCCCCTTTCGCGGGATTTTGTGGGGATGTCTCGAGCGGTTTGCCTGTTTTCTGTGCCAACATCCTTCGCTTTCGGAGCAGATTTGGAGGATGTCTCGAGCGAGGCGCTCATTTTCACCCCCCAGGTGGGCCAGATTTTGAGGATGTCTCGATCGGTTTGCTTGTTTTGGTGGCCAGGCTCGTGGGCGCATATTCTTCTCTGGATGCCACAGGAGGCTCCAACAGGCTCCAGGAGACATCATGAGGTCCCAGGAGGCATCAGGAGGCCACAAAAAGACTCAAGAGGCCACAGGATGTCCCAAGAGGCTCCAGGAGGCCCCAGGAAGCTCCGGACGGCCTCAGGAAACCACAGGAGGCCCCACGAGGCAACAGGAAGCGCCAGGAGGCCTCGGAAGGCAACAGGAGGCCCCGAGAGGCCCCAGGAGCAGGAGGCTTCAGAAGGCAACAGGAGTGGCTCCAATCCCATGTGTTTTACGTATGCTCCTATCGATTGGGCCTCACCTGGAGCACGAGTCTTTTGATGTTTTACGTATGTTTCTATAGATTGTCCTTCTCCTGTGTACACAGTCCTACATATTTTACTAATGTTCCTATATATATGTATATATATATATATATATATATATATATATGTATTGGGCCTCTCCTGGGGCACGATTCCTTTGTTTTTGACGCGTGTTCCTATAGATTGCCCTTCTCCTGTGGCACGAATCAGCAATGGTTTATGTACGTCTGTTGCTATATATTGCGCCTCTCCTGGGGCACGAAACCTCCCTAGGAGGTCCCAGGAGGCCCCAAGAGGCTCCTGGAGACCCCAGGAAGCCCCAGTAGGTTTCAGGAGGCCCCAGGAGGCCCGAGGCTCATGCACAAAGACGCGCTCGTACTACTGAGGCTCATTCACACTCCAATTCATTCGCAGTTAGATTTATGTCCTGACCGTCACAACTGAAGCCCGTGTATATTCGAAAGCTCTTGCGCCTAGACATTCACGGCGGACAGGTCCATGCGAATAGATGCACATATGGGGAGCTCCACGCAGTGAGTAATTTGTGTGTATGGATTTGTGTGTGTCCCTGGGGCCCCTTCAGTAACATCCGGCCAGCGTGGGCCCCCCGGAGTGGCCCTGGGACCGGTCTCGGACGAACGACCACGGCCAGGCGGCGAGGGTGCAGCCGGGGAGGAAGGAGGAGCAGGAGGAAAGACGAGGAGGAGGAGGAGGAGGAGGAGGAGGAGGAGGAGGAGGAATAGGAGCAGGAAGGCTTCCACGGAGCAGGATGAGGAGGAGGAGGAGGAGGGGGAGGAAGGAAAGGGATGACTGTCAATCGCCCCGCGGGCCAGTGATGGCCCCGCCCCGAGGCGGGGGAGAGGAGGAAGAAGGAGGTGGAGAGAGCTACGGATCCGTGCGCTCTCCTCCTCCTCCTCCTCTTCTTCCTCCTCCCCATCGTCCTCCCCATCGTCCTCCTCCTCCTCTTCCTCCTCCTCCTCCTCCTTCTCCTCCTCCTGCTCCTCCTCCTCGTCCTCCTCCTCCTCCTCCTTCCCCTCCCGCCCCCCCTGGGAGACCCCAGGCCGCTCCAGGCTCAGGAAGACGCCCGCTGCTGGTGTCTACTCGCGGGGGCAGGTCCTGCGGCCCCTGAGATCCGACGGCGCGCAAAATGACGACTGGAACCCTCGGCTTCAGTCGGGTATGTCCTCCTACAGGAGGAAGATACAATAAGAGTTTAAACATAGTCTGGTGACGATGTTTCGTGCTTTGTCGACTATGTGTTAAAACTTGTTTGACTATCGTTTGTGCCTCTTCCAAAATCCGCCTGTAGGCGGACATGCCCGACCGAACCCTAGACACCATCCTTCTGCGCCGCTTCTCGAGCCGCATCGATCCGATGGCCCCCAGACCCGAAGACGGGCGAAGACGCCCAGCTCTGGAGGAGGATTCGGAAGAGGAGGGGGAGGAGGAGGAGGAGGGGGAGGAGGAGGAGGCGGAGGAGGAGGAGGAGCGGCGGCGGGACAGGCGACGGCGGCGGCGGCGACAACGACGACGACGCCGTCGACGACGTCGCCTCCGCGCCCACCCGCGCGGCGACCTCGCCGGCGGCCCCCGGGGGTGGCCGCTCGGAGCGGCCAGGCGGACGGCCGCCGTCGGGAGGGCCTCCCTCGGGGGGGGGCTCCTCGGGGGCGGGGCCTCCCTCGGGTGCCTCGCATGGCGCCCGTGGGGGCCACGCAGGGGCCACTTCGATCCGATCGATCTGCTTCGATATCGATGCTGGGGCCTCCCTCGGGGGGCCTCCTCTGGGGAGGGCCTCCCGTGGGGGCCTCGTTTTGTGCCCGCGGGGGCTGCAGTGTCCATGTCGATTCGATCGATCCGCTTTGATATCGACTCTGGCCGGCCCCGTCCGATTCGATTCCGATGCTTCAGCCAGCCGCTGCGGCCGAACGCTTGCACGGTGCTGTTGTGTATCCTGGCGCAGCCGATCCGATTCGATTTCGACTCCGTGCCGATGCAGCCCGATCCGATGCCCGTTTCGATCCATTCCGGCTTCCCGATTCGATGCTGGCTAATACTGCCACATGGTGTTCTTGGGTGCCATCTCGCCATCTCGGCACATTAGGCCTCCCCGCCTCCTGGGGCCTCGCCGACGCCCCCGCGTGGTGTACGCTTCGTGGCCTTCCAGCCACCCGCTTGAGCCTGTTTTGTCATCCTCTGGCGGTAATGGGCGGTACCAGTGTGGGGGAGGGGGGGGAGGGAGCCAGTAACGTCACGATTCGCGCCAGCGTCGTTCGGGAATTGGCTCCCCCTAGCCGTTCCCAGACGGCGGCGGCGCGACTGGTGACGTTACATGGGGGGAGGCATGTGGGGGCGGTCCTTGGTCACGTGCGTTACCGAGAATTGTTGAACAGCACACTCCTGTCGCCTCACGGGGTGCGAGCCCCAACGCTTAACGCGCTTGTGTCTAACGCTACAGTGGAAACCCGTGCAAAGGTACACCCTGCTTGCCTCCAGGGTGCCCTGGGTTTCTTGGGTTTCGATGGTTTGCTATGGGAAGCGTGACCCCCCCACCAAAAATCAATGGACGTCCTGGGATCTCAGGATTGGGTTTCTTGTTGATGATTTCGTGTGGTCGAGCTCCTATTGTATATCGCAGCATGTTCTGCCACCACTGCTGCTGGCGTTCCTCTCGCCCTCTTCGTCCCGCCTCTTGCTACTGTTGGGCCTTCCGCTCCCCCCGCGCCCCCATTCTCCCTCTCTCCGTGTCCTTGATGGCCCCCTTCCCCCTCCTCTCGCCCCCTCTCCTCCCCATCTCTGCCTTCCTCCCTTTAGCACTTCTCCAGCCCTCCTCCTCCGCCTCCCCATCTCCAGCCCTCCTCCTCCTCCTGTTAGCCCTTCTTCAGAGTCACGGCCGACGCCATCAACCCAGTCTTTCTGTCGCACTTGCCGAGCTGGTTCAATATGTGATGCCTCTATGGCGCGAGCGGGACCAGGCGAAAACGCCAAGGGTGAAAAATGTGCAACACGCGGTGCTCAGGGCCCCCCTCGTGGCTGCCGCCGCCGTTGCAGCCGTGATATTGCTTCTTACCCGCTGGCGTGTAACGGTCGTCACCCGCGGGTGGGTCGCGGGACGGGTCGCAGGGTGGGTCGCGAGCGGGTCTTGGCGAGGGCGGCAACAACAACAGCAGCAACAGCAACAGCAACAACAACAATCATGTTACTAGTATTCGTTCGTATCTGCTCGCGTTCAACTCAACACGTATATCCCAAGCCCTCGATACCCGCCCTCTTTGTCTTCGATCGTACCCCCTTAGGGGTATACATTTCTTCCCTGCAACGTGTATTTCGCGAAGCCTCTAAGGCAGGGGAAGCAAGGACGGATGGAAGGAAGGGACAAGGGGCAGGCGGGTTGCTGAAGCGCGCGTCTTGCATGAATCGCGAGGAAGTCTCGCGCGACAGAGCGACTCCCAAACAAATCGCGAGAACATCACAGCGAGAGCTTGACTCCTGATTGTCGAGGGCGCGGAGTTTAATCAAATTGCGAGGAAGTCCCACGCGAGAGCGCGATTCCTGCATACATTGTGAGGAAGTCCCTCGCGAGAGCGCGATTTGGGAATCGGAGGTTTGGGGGTGAGATCGCAGTGGCACGGAGACCCCCCACCGGGAAATCGGTTTCGGTTTCGTGTTCGTGTCGTGTGTGCGGGCGAGGCGAAGCTGCGCGTGATCCTCCTGTAGCTAGGCCGAAGTAGGAGCGAAAGTCCGTTCCCGTCCGCCGGTGGCTGGGAGATTTCCCCTGCAGTTGGGCCGGGCGGTGTCCTGGGTGTCCCGGGTGTCCCGGGCGTCCCGGCGCTAACGCATGTCGCTAATGTCATAATTCATGTTTTCGGCGCCTGCGGCGGGCTTTCTTATCCAATCCAGCTTATCTTATCCAATCCATCTGGTCGATCCTAAACCATCTTATCTTATCCAACCCATATTGTGGTTGTGCCGCTGGTTTTCCTGTGGTTGTCCGACAACAAATCGTGTTTCGGCGCCTGCGGCGGGCTGTCTCATTTTGATTTTGAGGTCTATAGTGAGATCGACAGTGAGATTCACCGATAGGTCGGTCGAGGGATATATAGGTAGATAGTGGGATCTCATCGTCATCGCGATCATCATTGTGGTGGAGGGAGATTCTGATAGGGAGGGAGAAAGAGAGAGGGCGAGAGAGAGAGAGAGACACAAAGAGAGAGAGAGAGAGACAGAGAGAAAGAGAGAGAGATGAGATCAAGGTGACAGGCTGGAGGTCAGTCAGGGTGGGCATTTGATCTCAATCCCCCCACGACCTCCTTATCGCCCGCAGGGCGGTCGTATAGGTACATTGTGAGGAAGTATCAGGCGGGAGCCGCTGTAGTTGTAAACCAGGGGCCAGGGGCACAGTTTGGTGACATGTCAGTTTCCCTTGTAAAGAACAGGGTGCGAGCCCCAGAATAATCATTTGAATTGAAAAATGCAATGGTTACCGGGGAGTGAGGATCAACAGTGAATATGAGTGAAACATGAGATTACAACAACAAACACGACAACAACAAAAACAACAGCAGCAGCAGCACCAACAGCAACGCAACAAGAATCCGCACCGCGCAACCCCACTTCGGCCACGTGCCCAGGGACAGGGAATGACCGTTCGGCCCCCTCACTCTGACGCGAGGTTGTAGGGGGCCATACAGGGTACGCCCTAATTACTTACGGTTGTAAGGATCCAAGCAGGGTGCGGTATGCTTACGGTGCTACCCCGCAGGTGTATCGGCCTCCGGCCGCCACCACGCAACACCGCGTCTTCAGTGTAGGGCGCTCGCGATATGCCTGTGGTGGCGAGGCTGCCCTGGAGGCGACGCCGCCCGCCGCCCGCCGTCGTCGCGCCGGGCCCCGCGCAGGAGTACCTGGACGAGGACGGCCGGCCCGTCGTCCGCAGCGAGCAGGCGCGGCAGCGGCACCGGCCGGGTGCGCGTGGTTTGGGGGGGGGATCGATCGAGCAGTGGCGCCGCGTTCGGGCTTGACTGCAGGTCCACCGACGACTGTTCTAAGAGCCTCCTGTGATTTGCACGAGAGGCTCTCGGACCATTTCTGGCCGGGGCTGCCTTGTTTGCACGTTTCGGCTTGGTGTTCTAAGAGCCTTGGTTTTGCTCGTAGAACCGATGCTGCTTCTGAGCACATGTCGTGGTAGGCCTACAGGAATGCCGGGACGGTCGGCCCCTGCTCAAATCGAGCCGTGTCCTCCCACAGGGGTTGACCACCAGTGAGGACCCCTCATAAAAAAAACAACGGCGGAGGTCTTTCGTCGTCCAGGGCATGGGGATCTTCACTGGCCCCGGGACCGTCCAAACACGACCAGGGCGAAAGCCCTGTCCCCGGAGAGTGGTCCCGAATGGTGCCCTCCCAGAGAGGACCACTAGTTGGAAGAGTCCAACTCTCGTTCTCGAAGACAACAAAAAACAATAGCAGCAGCAGCAGCACCAACCGCAACGCAACAACGATCCGCACCGCGGAACCCCACTTCAGCCACGTGCCAGGGAATGCCCGTTCGGCCCCCTCACTCTGACCCGAGGTTGTTAGGGGCCATGCAGGGTACGCCCTACCTACGGTTGTAAGGATCCAAGCAGGGCGCGGTATGCTTACGGTGCTACCCCGCACGACCAGAGGTATATCGGCCTCCTGCCGCCACCACGCGCCATCGCGTCTTCCAGCGTGGACACCAAACAGTGTGTTTCCAGTAATATCGATTGCACATTCGATGTGGTACAACCTATGTGGTGCAATTAATTTCTGTTCGCACTGAGTTGTCCACTCCACTGCTCGCGCAAACATCCCACCCACCCACCCGCAATTCGGTTTGCAAAATCTCTTAAGACCGTGACGGTGGGTACCAAAGGGCACTTGGCAACGACAGCGACGCCGACGACGACAGCGACAGCGACGACGACGAAGCCGCCGACAACGACTGCGACGACACCGACGACGTCTCCAACGACTTCGACGACGCCGACAACGACGACGACGACGACGATGACGACACCGACGACGACGACGACGCCGACGACGACGACGACGACGACGACGACGGTGACAACGACGACGACGATGACGACGCCGACGACGACGACGACAACGACGACACCGATGACGACGACGACGTCAACGACGCCGACGACGACGACGACGACGACGACGGCGGCGACGACGACGACCCCGACGTCGACGACGACGAAGACGACGACGACGCCGACGCCAACGACGACGACGAAAACGACGACGGCGTCGCCAACGAAGGCGGCGACGAGGAAGGAGGGAGGACGACGACGGCGACAACGACGACAACGACGGCAACGACGAGGGAGGAGGGAGGACGGCGACGACGCGAACGACGAAGAAGGAGGAAGGACGGCGACGCCGACGACGACAACGACGAGGGAGGAGGGACGACGACGACGACGACGACAACGACGACGACGACGACGGCGACGAAATAGGAGGGACGACGACGACGCCGACGACGACGACGACGACGAGGGAGGAGGAGGAAGGACGACCACGGCGACAACTACGACGGAAACGACCACGACGCCAAAGAGGACGACGACGACGAACACGAGGAAAGACAGGACGACGACGGCGACGACGACGACGACGCGGGAGGAGGGAGGACGGCGACGACGACGACGACGACGCAAGAGCGCGCGCGCGCACTCTTTTGTTGAAAATCCGTGTTGCGAGACCTGGTGTTTTTGTAAGTTTTTTGGACACGCGATGTTGAAATCCTTCCGAAGCCGATGGGTTTTGAAGGATTTCGGCATACGCGCGCGACGACGCGCGCGTCTGCACTTCGTCCCGTTGTTTGCAGAGGGTTCTCGCAACGGCACACGCGCAAGGGCGTTCGACAGATTTCGACATGCTCGCGCGAAACCCGTTTGGTAGCATTTTGTAAAAATCCTGAAGAACCTAATTGGTTTTCTTGAGATTTCGCAAGAGCTCGCGCGTAAGCTTTTTTAGCAAATCAGTGATGCGAAACCTTGTGTTTTTGAATGTTTTTTGGAAGCTCGAATGCGGAATCCTTTCGGCAAAGGTTTTGGAGGATTTCGGCATGCGCGCGCGACGACGCTCGCGTGCGCACTTCGTCAAATTTTTGTAAAGGGTTCATGAAAAAGTGTGTTGTTAGAACAAAAGGTGTCCCCGCGTATCGTTGTTTACAAGGGAACCTCAGGGGAACCGATACCGGTTCCCCTGGGATAGTATAAATTCAGATTTAGGATGGACATGTGGTCAGAAACGTATATGGTTTACATACCCGAGAGGGGGGCGGCGAACGCCCGGGGGGATAGCCGGGTAGAGTCTATTTTGTTTTTAGAAAGGAGAACTGAATTTCTGTTCGCAGTGCGTTGGCCACTCCACTGCTCGCGCAACCACCCCACCCACCCACCCGCAATTCGGGTTGCAAAACCTCTTAAGACCGTGACGGTGGGTACCAAATGGCACTTGGCAACGACGCCGACAACGACAGCGACAACGACGACGACGACACCGCCGACAACGACTACGACGACACCGACGACGTCTCCAACGACTTCGACGACGACGACGACTTCGACGACGACGACGACGACAACGACATCGACGACGACGACGACGCCGATGCCGACGACGACGACGCCGACGCCGACGACGACGACGACGACGCCGACGACGACGACGACGCCGACGACGACGACGACGTCGCCAATGAAGATGACGTCGACGAGGGAGGAGGGAGGACGACGACGGCGACAACGACGACAACGACGACAACGACGAGGGAGGAGGGAGGACGGCGACGACGCAGAGGGAGGACGGCGACGTCAAGGTCGACAACGACGAGGGAGGAGGGAAGACGACGACGACGGCGACGACGACGACGACGACGATGACGACGACGGCAACGAAATAGGAGGGACAACGACGAAACGCAGACGAAGACGACGAGGGAGGAAGGACGACCACGGCGACAACGACGACGGAAACGACGACGACGCCAAGACGACGCCGACGACGAGGAACGACAGAGGACGACGACGACGACGATGGCGACGACGTGGGAGGAGGGAGGACGGCGACGACGACGACGCAAGAGCGCGCGCGCACGCTTTTGTTGAAAATCCGCGTTGCGAAACCATTTGTTTTTTATGTTTGTTTGGACACTCGATTTTGAAATCCTTCCGAACCCCAAGGTTTTTAAAGGATTCCGGCATGCGGGCGCGATGGCGCGCGCGTGCGCACTTCTTCCTGTTTGTTGCAGAGGATTCTCGCGACGGCACGCGCGCAAGGGCGTTCGAAAGATTTCGACATGCGCGCGCGAAGCCCGTTTGGTAGAATTTCTTTGAACATCTTGACAACATAGGGTTTTCTTAAGATTTCGCAAGAGCGCGCGTGCAAGTTTTTTCAGCACATCAGTGTTGCGAACCCTGTGTTTTTGTATGTTTTTGGGGAACTCGATTTTGAAATCCTTCCGACATCAAAGGTTTTTGAAGAATTTCGGCGTGTGCGCGCGACGACGCGCGCGTGTGCACTCCTGTTTTTGGCAGGGACTCTTGGAACTTCATGATTGTTGATAAACGAGAGTGCGCGCATAGTATGTGTTGCAGAGGATGGCGTGGGGGAGTGATGCCGGTTTGGCTGGGATAGTATGAACTCACATTTAGGATGGACGATGGGGTAGAATCACATGTCAATTGCAGTACGAAAAGGTGGATCGTTAATTCCGGGAGGGGTAGAGTTTTTTCTGCTTTTAGAAAGGAGAGTCTGCGTGGTACAATCTGTGGTGTACCGTATACGTGGAGCAATGCATGTGGGGTAATATTTGTGGTGCGATCTCTGAGGCGCATCCTACGTTGTGCAATCTATGGGGCCCAGTATAGGTAGTACAACCTATGCTGTGCAACCAACGCTGTGCAATCTATGAGGTTCAATCGATGTTGTGTTATCAGCGTGGTGAAGTCCATGTGGTGCTCAGTCTGTGCTGTGCAATCTATGTGCAGCGGCGGCGGGGCGGCGACGGCGAGAACATGACCGCCACACCGCCCCGCAGGCCCAGCTCCTAAGACGACCGGTAATTAAGAGCCCCTCCTTTACCAGCCTCGAGCGTATCCTTTTCCTTAAGATCGACACGCCAAAAGGCGATGACAATCTTAGGGATTCGCCCTCCAAAAATAAGGTAACCCTTAAGATTGGCATCGTGATGAGGAGGTGCCCAGCATAGGGATAGGGATAGGTTCCAGGCTGGTAACTCCTGAGTGCAAGCACTGTTGGGGACATCGTTTTTCCGGCCCGCGCAGATGTCCTGGGTCGGCGCCTCGGGCCCACCGGCGGCGCCTCCCGCGCCGACCCCGTCGCGCGCCGCGCGCCAGGGAGAGGGTCCCAGCGCCGATCCAAGCAGTCCGCGCGGACCTCGGCAAGTTTTCTTATGCTTCTTCCGTTCCCTGTTCCCCTACAGGTCGGGAGAGTCTGACTCTATGTCGTTCTACCGCCTCGAAGATCGATTGCGGGCGGCCAAGCGCCAGAGGGAGGTCACGCCACCTACCCCCTGCTGACACCGCCGCTGCTGCCTTTCACTGCGCCCTGCGAGGGGGGGGGAGGATGAAGAGGAGGAGGGAGGGCACATTGTGGTTCTCTTCGGGTTCCCCCCATAATCTCGAATGTTAATGCGCCTTAGTGCTTGCTTGATCTTAATTAATTAAGCTGAATCACATCCAACACGCCGCAGGGAAGCATCGCGGCAGTTCGAACGCAGCTTTGGTAGCAGCGACATCTGCTGCCGCGTTGCTCCTGCTGCTCAGCAGCGTGTGTGTGTGTGTGTGTGTGTGTGTGTGTGCGTGTGTGTGTGTGTGGGGGGGGGGGGAGGACAGACCCGCCTTTGCAGGAGGCAGGGTGAGGAGGAGGGGGAGGCGGAGCCTGAAACGCTGCGTTCACGCGTGACGGTCCTGATCCCCCCCCCCTCTGGGTGATGGTGGCGATAGTACGTGGGCGAGGGGGGAGATGCTGGCCCCTCCGCCTCTTCTTGGCGCCCGCACTGTGGCGATCGCATCGCACCCCTGGCCCGATCTGCCCCACCCCGCCCAAGCGTTAACGTTACCCGCCCGCCCCCTCCCCCCCTACATAAACAAACAGGAGGAGGAGGACGAGGAGGAGGAAGAGGAAAACCAGAGTGAACCCACGACCCATCAACAATATTGCAACTAGCCCTGCCTCCAAGTTCCCTCTTCACAGTTCCCCCTGCGAGAATTCGCTCTCACTGACGGAAGCTTTCTGTTGGAAGATCACCGTTTGAAAATCTTTATTTGTGCCAAACACCATTCTTGTGACTTCAACACCTCGAAAAACCGTTGTCGTTGCGTCATGACGATCCTGAACCGCGACAGAGCGCAATGTTGGGAATTCAACACCGCGAATCAACGTAACGGTTGCGCCCTGACAGTCCGACATCGTGGCCAATCATCATTGCTGGGACGTTAATTGTGAGAGTCTTCCTCTGTGTTGCCAACTTTTTGTGTACCACATCCATGAGAAATATGTGGGCGGCGCTTCGGCGAGAGCCACCTATAGAAAAGAAACCACCCTTCATCCGCGAAGTTCTTCAACTTCAAACATGATGTGCAGGGCGCTAAGGCGAGAGCCACAGTTTGAAAGCGGGCCTAAGCTTACGGATCATAAGCGGTGAGGGGATCTCATGCGAAACGACTTGCCCGCCCTACCGACACGCGTCGGTGCGCGACTTCGAAGAGTTATTTACAATCTATAAGGACAGGGACGGAGGATGGGGGGGAGGAAGGGGATGATGAGGAGGAGGAGGAAGAGGAGGAGGAGGCTGAGGAGGACGACGAGAACGAGGACGAAGACGAGGACGAGGACGAGATGGAGGACGAGGACGAGGAGGAAAAAGAAAGAGGAGGAGGAGGAGGAGGAGCAGGCGGAGGAGCAGGAGCAGGAGGAGGAGGAGCGGGGAGGAGGATGAGGAGGAGGAGGAGGAGGGGGAGGAGGAGGAGGAGGAGGAGGAGGAGGAGAAGGAGGAGGGAGGCACCATTTTTGCTTCCCCCCCCACACACACACCACCCACCCCCTCAAGCCAGAGCCGCGGCGACGCCCCCGCCCCGTCCCGCGGCATTCTCCCGCGAGGCCAGCGTCGCCGCCTCTTCGTCTTCGGCGCCCGAGGAGTGCCGCACCCTGCGTTCGCCGCCGCCGTCGCCGCCGCCGTGACGACGGCGTCGATTGGAAACGGCAGCGCCGACGACGACCTTCGACGACGCTTGTTCTTCTTCCTTCGACGACGACGACGACGACAACGACGACCCTCGTGGGCCAAACGCAAATCCGTACCCGCGGCCTCGCGAGGCCGCGGCCCCGCGGACACGGGGCGTTTTTGTTCGCGGGGGCCCCGCGCGGAGGGTGCCCGTGCGACCGCGCAGCTCTCCGCGAGGCCGCGGGCACGGAGGTGCTGGCCGCGCGTGGGGACTCTCTCCCCCCCCCCGCCTGTGGGGGGGGGGGTCCCTGCGGCCCGCGACATCCGCGCAGGACGCGCGGAAGGGCCCCCCCGGGGACAGCGCGGACGAGCCCAGGCGGGCGCGTCGTCGAGGGCCGCCGTCGTCATCGCCGTCGCCGTCGTCGTCGCCGTCGCCGTCTTCGATCGAGGGTCCTGCGAGCTTCGACCGAGAATCGATGGCTCGGTGGCTCGTTTTTTTCCCTTGCCCCGCTTCCTCACCGACGACGGTCAGGGCGAATTGCCGCCGCCACCTGCCTGTTGGAAATGCCCATGCGGCCAAACGTTGGGCCTAAGTCAGGTCAAACTATTTGACTGAGGTCCTCCAGCCGTTGTGAAACCCCTTGGGCCCGTGGGGGACCACTCGGAGGAAGAGAAAGGAGGAGGGGACGGAGGAGAAAGAGCACGAGGAGTACAAGGATGATGAGGAGGAGGAAGAGGAGGAAGAGGAGGCATCTTGAGGTCCTCTTGGGGCTTCCTGCAGGCCTCCTGGGAGCTTTCAGGGGGCCTCAGAGAAGCCTTGTGGGGGGCTCCTGAGGCCTCTTCGGGTTTCTTGGTGGCCTCTTGGGGGCTCTTGCGGCCTCTGAAGGATTTCTTGCCCTTCGCATTCAGGGTTGGGGGCCCCTGTAGACAATCGTGGGTCCATCTTCGGGCGCTTTAGGGCCGTCTTGGAGGTATATTGGGCCGTCTTGGAGGTCTACGGTCCATGGCTTGCCCTACCTCTGGTCTCCAGCTTGTTGATTTGCAGAAGTAGTGCCACCAACACCGCTGCGTGAATGGTGTGAAGTGGTACGTGCGTGGTCGGCAGTCTCTCAGCACTGTCCAGCCTGCAATGGTTGACCAATGTTGTTGTGTCATGTGCGCCCTATCATCTGGGACAACCTTGATAAGCAAATATCGCCCCCCAGCCCCCCTTCTTCCGGCGGAAATATATAACTGCTACGCCGCTGGAAGTGATACGCTGCCCCCAGAACCTTCATCGAGGGTCATTCACACTGTATATCGCGCTTGAGCGCAGCGCTCATTCGCTGTAGAATCTGGCAAGAGTTGCACGAATGGAGGGCAGATGATGTCCAACATGTGCCTCTCGCCTTAGTTTCGCGCACATTCGCCCTAAAAGTTTGGAAGAGCTTCGCGAACTGAGGGCGGGTCCATTTCAGAATGCAGAACTCGCCTTAGCGCCGGAGTTTCACAGACGGAAGTGAGTCCTTTTCAGACTGGGGTTCTCGGCCCAGCTCTTCGCTCTTCATTTTGAAAGTTAGCAAAAGTTTTGCGATGGAGGGTGGGTATTTTTCAATGTGTAGCTTTCGCTTTAGCGCCGCGCACAATCGTCTCAAAAGTTTGCAGCCGTTTTACTGATGGAGGGCGGGTCCTTTTCAAAATGTGGTGGTCGCCTTAGGACCGCGCGCGTTCACATCAAGAGTTTGCACGAGCTGTACGGATGGAGGGCGGGTCTTTTTCAAAATGTTGTTCTGACCTTGACGCCGCGCAAGTTCGGTCTAAAAGTAAGCAAGAGCTTCACGGATGGAGGGCTGCTCCTTCTGAACAGGTGGTCCCCGTCCCGCCGTTACGCCCCGCACTTTCTTTTTTGAATAGGTTTCGAGAGTTTCGCGCCGCGCGCATTGGCTTGAAGCGCTTGCAAGTCACGGTTGGGGGGCGGGTCTTTTTCAAAATGCGTTTCTCGCCATCGTGCCACGCACATTCGTCCTCAAAGTTTGCACGGGTTTTACGGATGGAGGGTGGCCCGTCTTCAAAGTGACGTTTTCGCGCTAGCGCCGCGAACTTTCGCCTCAACAGTTTGCCAGGGTTTCACGGATGGAGGGCGGCTCTTTTCGAAATGTGGTTCTCGCTTCAGCACCGCGCGCTAGTATTGAAAGTTTGGGAGAGCTTCACGGATGGAGGCCGGGTCCTTTTCAAAATGTGTTGCGGGCCTGAACGCCGCGCACAGTCGTCTTAAAGTTTGCAAGGGCCTCGCGGATTGATGGGCGGGTCCTTATTGCGCCCGTGTGCGCGCGCTTCCGCGTGCGCTATACTAACCACGAATTGCCGCGTTAGTTTTGAAAGCCGAATGACAGAACCAATTTGTTCCACTCGTTTTCTGGGGGCGTCAACACGGAACCATGGATTGTGACACGGTCCATCTCTTCATTGCAAAGTTGAATGGTGAAGAGCAGTAGTGCCCTTCTTGTTCTCGGGTAGAATACTGTATTGTGGTGCATGGCGCCTCGTCTTGTTTCGTTACGTGCCTCGGCCCCCCCCCCAGGGGCCGCGCACGTGCCGCCGGCCATGATTTGCGCCCCCCCCTCTTGGACGCCCCCCTCTTGGCCGCTCCCGAGGATGGGGAAGCCGCCAGAGTGGAAGCACCACCAGCGCATCGTCGGAGAGGTCTGGCCGCTTTGCATTTCACGCTGGTGGTTACGAGGGCCGATTCGTCAAACAGCTCGAACTCGCACACCCATGAATGTAGGCGTGCGGAGTACAAACGTGCGTAGCACTCACGACTGCCTCGCTGTCCCGCCGCAGAGCGTGCTTCCCCTGTGGGGTTCGTTGATGCCTCCCCCGACGAAGGCCGAGAACTGGGCTCAGGCTTGCGCCTTGCCAGGCGCAAGCCTGGCAAGGCGCAGAGACACGCGACCACACGAGTGCCCAAAACTCACAGCAAGGCGAAGGCGGGTGGCGGCCTAAGGACAGCCTCTACCCAAACGCTCTGCGCACAGGGAAGAGGAAAGCGAGGACTCAGAGATGCAAGGTGCGGATGGACTCCCTGGGCACCTTTGCATACTGCTGGTTCAGAGCGGCAATCACATAGCGGCCGTATTCCAGCATGATGTTTTCGGTGACGCGGGCCCTCGGACGCAAGATAGAAACCTTTGCTCATGTTGTTTCAGTCACCGTCCTCACCGAACAACGAACACTCCTCGTCCCATTCCCTTTCTGTTGCAGCCGACTCCAAAAAATCGGCATCGGGCCGCATGTTCAAGATACATCACGTCCGCGGCTCCAGAAACCTCGGAGGCGTCCGTGAGGGCAACTCTGAAGGCGGGGAGTCGAAGAAGAACAAGACGAGCTCGAGACGCTCAAACGAGGTCCCTGTCGAGGGCAATGGGCAACCAGCCGGCCAAAGGGGACCTCAACATGTCCCAGACGTGCGAGGCAGTGCCAGCCTGCGTCGCAGCACCGAGCGGCGGCGATAGACGACCCTCGCCCGTCCTCGGAATCCCGAGATCCTCCAGCACTGAGAGCGAGCTACGTGCCTCACCCGCCGCTCGGCGCGGGGCACCGTGCCGCTGTGGCATGCCGACCCCCCCCCCGTTGACCGGGGCCAGCCGTCTTGGTCCACGGAGACCAGGACAGAGATAAACCAGGACACGAAACACCAAGGAAACGACATGCTTTCCTGCAAAGTCGCGTCTTTCAGCACCCGTGCATGTTTTGTCTGCTGCGCTGCAGGATTCGGGTTTGTGTCCGGGTTAAGGGGGTCTTGCAGGTTTTTAGGGCCTTTGTCCGGGTTCATTTTGGAAAGGCTGCAGTGCAGTGTTTTGTTCGTGCCGCTGCCTGGAAAAAGTGGTTTCGAGGGATGTTGGGTGTCCGGGTCTAGCGTGTCGGGGTTTACGTGGCCCTGGGGGCGCGAGTCGAGCCGAGTCGAGCCGTCCTCGAGGCGGCGCCTGGGGCCCAGTGGGCCACGCTCTCAACATCAGCCGTGGGCCGACGAATCGCACGAGGCTTGGCTCAAGTCGGGCCTGTCCCCCTAATAGGAATAATATCCAGAAGTAGTCAGAAAACAGTCCGGGGACGATATTTTTGCTACTTTTGGCTATGTTTCAGCATTTTTGGGGGCTTTGTTTATGTTTCGTCCCAGATCCGCCTCTAGGAGGACATGCCCGGCCGAAGGCTTGGACCACGCCTTACCGCCCTCTCCTCCTCCTCCTCTGCCGGGGGGTCCGGGCTGAGAAGTGTTGTTGGCCCAGAGCCTGGACGCCCGAAATGCCCTGGGGAGGAGGAGGAGGAGGAGGAGGAGGAGGAGGAGGAGGAGGAGGAGGAGGAGGAGGAGGGGGAGGAGGAGGGGAGGGGGAGGAGGAGGAGGAGGAGGAGGAGGAGGAGGAGGAGGAGGGAGGAGGAGGAGGAGGAGGAGAGGAGGAGGGAGGAGGAGGAGGAGGAGGAGGAGAGGAGGAGGAGGAGGAGGAGGAGGAGGAGGAGGAGGAGGAGGAGGAGGAGGAGGAGGAGGAGGTCCAGTAGGCAGACCTCGCGAGGGGTGCCACAGGAGGGCGCACGAGACTCAGGGGACTGCGACCAGTACATGCCAGTGCTGTGCCCGTCCAGAGGCCAGCCGTACCCGTCGCCAGCGCCGGCATCCTGGAGACCTCGGGCGGCTCGCGATAGTTGCATCATGTTTTTTTGCGGTGGGCATGTCCCCCTACACGAGGCATATGCAAAAGTAGTCGAAACATAGCCAATGGACGATGTTCCTTGTAGTTTTGATGATGTTCGAATGCTGCTCCAGCTCTTGTATTTGTCGTCCCGAGTCCGCCTGCGTAGGGGGACATGCCCGACCCGATTGTATTATTCAGCTGTGTCATTTAGTCCACACGGGCGCTCCAGAAGATGCAGGTCGAGGTTCGCGCGACCACTTTATGGCGTAGGTCCGACGTGAATCCGACGTAATCCGACGTGAGCCCGACATAGATCCGATGTGGGTGGGCTTAGGGGTGGGCTTAGGGGTGGGCTTGCTTTCGCGTGCGTGGCCCTCACCACGCATGGCTGTCCTTCTCGCGGGCCTCCTCCCTCGGGGCTGCGATGGCCACGTCCGCCTGGATCTCTGAGCTGGTCCATGTCCTGCCTCCCGCCTGGCGTGTCCCCGTTCAGCGGATTTTCCTCATGGCGTCCCGCTCCGGCAAACAGCGGCTGCCGCGAGCGGTGCAGCGCTCACGGCAACCGGCAAAAGGATGGGGCACGCCCCTTCGGCCCATCGGCATAGTCCACTCGGTCCTGCACAGTTCCTCATTGTGCCCGAGACGCTCTAAGAGTACCCCTCGGCAGCAAAATAACGTCCCGCTCCGCCCCCCTCCTCCTCCTCCTCCTCCGCCTCCTCCTCCTCCTCCTCCTCCTCCTCCTCCTCCTCCTCCTCCTCGTCTTCCCCCTCCTCCCCCTCCTCGTCCTCCTCCTCCTTCTCCTCCTCGTCCTGCTCCTCCTCCTCCTCCTCCTCGCTCCTCTTCCTCCTCCTCCTGCTCCTCCTCCTCGTCTCCTCCTCCCGGCGTGGCTTCCTTTTTGGTCCCACGGCGCCCCCCCTGTGCGAGCCCAGGGGCTGCCTCCTGGTCTTCGAGGAGTCGGACGTAGGCCCGGGCGCTGCGCGGCGACGCCCCTCCAGTCGGACGAAGGTCGTCATCGTCGTCCTCGTCCTTGTCCTCGTCCTCGTCGTCCTCGTCGTCGTCCTCCTCCTCCTCATCCTCCTCCTCGTCGTCGTCGTCTTCGTCGTCGTCGTTGGCGTCGGCGTCGTCGTCGTTGTTGCAGACCGGGACTCTGCCGGATCTGGCTGGAGCGGGCGAGGGACGGAGTACGTCTCGACCCACCGTTGCAGCCTTCTCTGGTGCGCCCACGCCCTGGCTCACAGTCGGAGCGAGGTGTACGATCGAGGCCAGTTGGGAGGGTACCCTGATGTTCTTCGTGCTTGTTGGATATTCTCCCGCACCCGGGGGAGGAGGGTACCCCCGTCGAAGAAGAAGAATAATAAGAAGAAACGACATAAGCATAAACTTTTGGCGCTCCAGGCGGATGTCTTGGATCCGCGCTGGGCCCCCCCTGGCCCTCCGCCCCTGGCGCGCTCCGCGCGCCAGGGATGGAGGTCCAGCGCAGATCCAAGAAATCCTCGCGGACCGTCGAAAGTTTATGTTTATGCTGTTGTTTTCTCCTTCTAAGGGTACCCTAACCGAGCTGCCCAAAACAGATGCCCCCCAGCCGCAGGCAGCTCCCGAGGGTTGCCGACAGGTGGGGCATGCGAGGGATATCTATTTGCGTCAGTTCGGTGCACCAGCGGATCGAACTCGTGCCCCCCCTCAGGGTCACCCCCCCTTTTCGGTGGATCTCGATTATGTTCGTCGTGGTTGCTGGATGTTCTTGTGCACCCTGGAGAGGGTACCCTTGGATGTTCAGTGCAATGTTGGCCGGCGGAGGGTCTCGTGTTCTTGAGGGACGTTAGTTTGTCCTAGGTTTGGCTGTAGCCCTCGTGGCGCTTCCCTGAGATCCGAGGTTGGGAAGAAATTGCAACGTCGCGAATCCCAGACCAGGGCTGCAGCTGAGCGGTGTCCTGGAGACTTCATGAACCGTTATCGTTGTTTTTCCCCCAAACCATCCTGTGGTGTTGGGTCCTCGTTTTGAAGAGACAGCGCCCCGCGTCTCCTTCCACTCTTCTCCTCTCCTCTCCTCTCCTCCTCCCCCTCCTCCCGCTCCTCTTTCCTCCCCTCCTCCCACCATCAGCATCATCATCATCATGATCATCACCATCATCACCATCAGCATCATCAGCATCATCATCACGGTCATCATCATCACCACCACCATCATCATCATCATCAACATCATTACCATCATTATCAGCATCAACATCATCATTATCATCATCATCATCATCATCATCATCATCATCATCATCATCATCGACATCATTAGCATCATTATCCTCATCATCACCAGCAGCAGTTTCATCATCATCACCACCATCACCATCATATCAGCATAATCATCATCACACCATCACGCCATCATCGTCATCATCATAATCGTCTTCATCAAACTCGTCACCGTCATCGTAATCACCATCCTCATCACCATTACGGCCGTCATCATCGTCATCGTTCCCCGCCCACTCCTGCACGCCCTCATACGGTTCGAGGCCCCATAGGAAGCTCCACCGAAGGCCAGAGTGGCAGGGTTCGCATCCAGTTCCACCTTTATTCCGGCGCACCCCTCACACGGTTTGTGGCCCCATAGGGAGCTCCACCGAAGGCCCATTGGCAGGGTTCGCATGCAGTTCCAACCTCATCTCGGCGCACCCCTCACACTGCTCGTGGCCCCGTAGGGGGCTCCACAGAAGGCTCCAGTGGCAGGGTTCGCATGCAGTTCCACCCTCATTTCGGCGCACCCCTCACACGGTTCGTGGACCCATAGGGAGCTCCACTGAAGGCCCCAGCGGCAGAGTTCGCATGCAGTCCCACCCTCATTTCGGCGCACCCCTTACACGTTACATATGGAGCTCCACCGAAGGCAACAGCGGCAGGGTTCCCATGCAGTCCCGCCTCCATTCCGGTGCCCCTCTCAGACGGCTCGTGGCCCCGTAGGGAGCTCCACCGAAGGCCACATTGGCATGGTTCGCATGTAGTTCCACCCTCATTTTGGCGCACCCCTCACACGGTTCGTGGCCCCATAGGGAGCTCCACCGTAGGCCCCAGCGGCAGGGTTCGCATGCGGTTCCATCTTCATTTCGGCGCACCCCTCACACGGTTCGTGGCCTTATAGGAGGCTCTACCGAAGGCCCCCGTGGCAGGGTTCGCATGCAGTTCCACCCTCATCTCGGCGCACCCCTCACACGGTTCGTGGCCCCATAGGGAGCTCCACCGAATGCCTCAGAGGCAGGGTTCGCATGCGGTTCCATCTTCATTTCGGCGCACCCCTCACACGGCTCGTGGCCCCATAGGATGCTTCATCGAAGGCCCCCGTGGCAGGTTTCGCAAACAGTTCCTTCTTCATTTCGGCCCCATCGGGGGCTCCACCGAAGGCCCCAGCGGCAGGGTTCGCATGCCACCCTCATTTCGGCGCACCCCTCACACGGTTCGTGGCCCCATAGGGAGCTCCACCGAATGCCTCAGTGGCAGGGCTCGTATGCAGTTCCACCCTCATGTCGGCGCACCCCTCAGACGGCTCGTGGCCCCACAGGGAGCTCCACCGAAGTCCCCAGCGGCAGGGTTCGCATGCAGTTCCACCCTCATATCGGCGCACCTCTCACACGGCTCGTGGCCCCATAGGGAGCTCAACCGAAAGCCCCATTGGCAGAGGCAGGGTTCCCACGCTGAATGTACGGCTTGTGTGTGCGTGTGCGTCACACGGTTAGTGGCCCCGTAGGGAGCTCCACCGAAGACGATATTCAGAAGTGTGGCACTCACAATTGCATATGGTTGGTTCCTTCGCCAGGCTAAGTTTCGCACTGCGGGTAAAAACGCGCCGGAAGGTTTCTGGCCACGTTCGGTCTGCGGGGGCCTCTACTGGGCCGCGGGCCGTCAAAACGCGGCTCGATAGCAAAGCCCGTCTTGGGGAAAGGGTCGAGACCTCTGGGAGTCCAAGTCGTATTATCCCGGCAAAGCAACCTAACAGCGATGTGTAGAAGCATATATGAAAGCATTCCCCTTAAGATTCAGACGAAAATCCAGTTGTAGAATTCTGCTGTTCTCGCAGTCGTAGTCGCATTCGCGATGACAGTCGCAGCGGCAACGGCAGTCGCAGTCACAGCCTCAGCCTCAGCCTGCCTCAGCCTCAGCCTCAGCCTGCCTCAGCCTGCCTCAGCCTCAGCCTCAGCCTGCTTCAGCCTCAGCCTCAGTCTGCCTTCAGCCTCGGCCTCAGCCTCAGCCTGCCTCAGCCTCAGCCTGCTTCAGCCTCAGCCTCAGCCTCAGCCTGCCTCAGCATCAGCCTGCTTCAGCCTCAGCCTCAGCCTGCCTCAGCCTCAGCCTCAGTCTGCTTCAGCCTCAGCCTCAGTCTGCCTTCAGCCTCGGCCTCAGCCTCAGCCTGCCTCAGCCTCAGCCTGCCTCGGCCGCAGCATCAGCCTGCCTCAGCATTCAAAATGTGGCCCAGGAATGGAGTTCTGGGAACTAGAAGAACACGAAGTGGCCTACAGTTGGCTCCGGGCATTCAAAATCATGCCCAGGAATGGAGTTCTGGGAACTTGAAGAGCACGAAGTGGCCTACAGTTGGCTCCGGGCATCCAAAATGTGGCCCGGGAATGGAGTTCTGGGAACTCGAAGAGCACGAAGTGGCCTACAGTTGGCTCCGGGCAAAATGTGGCCCGGGAATGGAGTTCTGGGGAATCGAAGAGCACGAAGTGGCCTACAGTTGGCTCCGGGCATTCAAAATGTGGCCCGGGAATGGAGTTCTGGGGACTCGAAGAGCACGAAGTGGCCTACAGTTGGCTCCGGGCATTCAAAATGTGGCCCGGGAATGGAGTTCTGGGAAGTCGAAGAGCACGAAGTGGCCTACAGTTGGCTCCGGGCATTCAGAATGTGGCCCGGGAATGGAGTTCTGGGAGTCGAAGAGCACGAAGTGTGTGATTGTTGGCTTAAAACGACTTCTGCGGCACCCTGTCCGGCACCCGCCCAGACCCCCCTGTGGAGTCATCTGCTGCTCTCTTTTGAGACTACTAGAAACCTATCAGTCTTCGCTGTTAGGTAAAAAATCACGATCTCGGAGGCCTGGGGAGGAGGAGGAGGAGGAGGAGGAAGAGGAGCGACAGGTTCAGAAAGGCGTGGGATAGCATGTAGGAAGGGACATGGCTCGGGGGAACCACATCGATCGTGAATCGAACAACGGCCAGCGCTCAGTCTGAAGTGTGTTTTCGCTTGGTTGTATGCGGTTCGTGCTCCGCTTCGTGATTTTCATGGCTCACGTGTTTTAAACTTAACGCTTGTTTATAACGCGGCTCATGTGTAAGCACGGTTTTTGTTGCGCGCGTTGGGTTTTTGCTTTGCTGCATATCTGAATGTGCAGGTGTTTAGTCGTTCATTTTGCCCCTATTGGTGCATGGCTCGTTCCGTGTTGGCACGTGGTTCCGCCGTCATGATATTTCAATGTTGTTGTCGCGTGTCCACCAGGATACAGCATTTGATAAGCGCTCTGTTGGTATGTCGATTGGTTGGTCCATGCAGCAGCATGTACCGCGAGCTCGTCTATGTGCGTCGGTTGCTGCGCAAGGCGAGTCGTGTCTCGCTGCGTTTTCTGCTTGGTTCTTCGTTCGGTCGTGGCGCTTTCTCCTAAAGAGGTCTGTCGTGGCTTCTGCTATGCCTGATATCGATCTCGTGTATGTGCGTCGGTTGGTGCGCAAGGCGATTCGTATCTCGCTGCGTTTTCTGCTTCGCTCTTCGCTTGGTCGTGGCGTCTTCTCCTAAACAGGTTTGTCGTGGCTTCTGCTGTGCCTGATACCAAAAAAGACCGCCTGTATCCGAGACTGTGCCTCCTCTCGGCCTCGCTCTGAGGCTCCGCCGCGTCCTCCCTCCTCTTCTCTGCCTAATTCAAGCTTCGCGCGGCCCGCGTAGCTTCGACCGGAAGAGGCGCGCTCTCTACCCGCGGATCAAAAACTGTGCCTGATACCAAAACGGCCTGGCGCGGGAGGCCAGGGCCGAGGCGTGCCTTCGCGTCCACGGACCAGAGCAGGAGGCCCGAGCCGCAAGCCTCCGCCCGAGCCCTCTACTTTTCGCCCGCCCTGGCCCCAGCCTCGGCCCGAGCCTCAGCCTCCTTCGCCCCGAGCCTCCTCAGCCTTACAGTGTTGAGTCCTTGCCTCTGCCCGAGCCCTAAACCTCGGCCCTCACCATCAGACCAGAGTCACCCCTGCCCTCACATGTGCTCCCAGCCATCCTGTGGTGTCGGGTCCTCGAGTTGAAGAGACAACGTCCCGCACCTCCTCCTCCTCCTCCTCCTCCTCCTCCTCCTTCTTCTGCTCCTCACCCCTCATCCCACCCATGCCTCTGCCCTCTGCATATCCACCATTTCAGCGCACCCAGTACAGCGCTCCGTGGCCCCACAGGGAGCTCCACCGAAGGCCCCAGTGGCTGTGTGCACATGTGTCCCGCGGCGCCCAGTACGTCGCTTCGTGGCCCCAAAGGGAGCTCCACCGAAGGCCCCAGTTGCTGTGAGCACATGCGTCCCGCGCCACCCAGTACGGCGTTTCGTGGCTCCATCGGGAGCTCCACCGAGGGCCCCAGTGGCTGTGATCACATGCGCCCCGCGCCACCCAGTACGGCGTTTCGTGGTCCCATAGGGAGCTCCACCGAAGGCCCCAGTGGCTGTGACCACGTGCGCCTTGCGCCACCTAGTACGGCGTTTCCTAGACCCACAGGGAGCTCCACCGAAGGCCCCAGTGGCTGTGACCACATGCGTCCCGCCCCACCCAGTACGGCGTTCCGTGGCCCCATCGGGAGCTGCACCGAGGGCCCCAGTGGTTGTGTTGCTGTGAGCACATGCGTCCCGCGCCACTCAGTGCGGCTTTTCGTGGCTCCATCGGGAGCTCCACCGAGGGCCCCAGTGGCTGTGATCACATGCGCCCCGCGCCACCCAGTACGGCGTTTCGTGGTCCCATAGGGAGCTCCTCCGAAGGCCCCAGTGGCTGTCACCACATGCGTCCTGCGCCACCTAGTACGGCGTTTCGTGGACCCACAGGGAGCTCCACCGAAGGCCCCAGTGGCTGTGACCACATGCGCCCCGCCCCACCCAGTACGGCGTTCCGTGGCCCCATCGGGAGCTCCACCGAAGGCCCCAGTGGTTGTGATCACATGTGTCCGCGCGCCCAGTACAGCGTTTCGTGGTTCCCAGTATGACGTTTCGGGGCCTCATAGGGAGCTTCACCGAAGGCCCCCGCGGTTGTGACCACATGCGTCCCGCGCCACCCAGTACAGCGTCTCGTGGCTTCATCGGGGGCTCCACCGAAGGTCACAATGGTTTTGACCACATGCGCCCTGCGCCACCCAGTACGGCATTTCGTCGCCCCACAGGGAGTTCCAGCGACGGCCCCAGTGGTTGCGACCACATGCGCCCGCGGCGCCGGGTACGACACTTCGTGGCCCTGTATGGAGCTTCACCGAGGGCCCTGGTGGCTGTGTGATCTCACGCACCAGCGCCACCCAGTACAGTTCTCCGTGTTCCCATAGGGGGCTCCACCGAAGGCCCCAGTGGCTGTGATCACATGCGTCCGCGGCGCCCAGTACGGCGTTTCGTGGCCCCATCGGGAGCTCCACCGAAGGCCCCAGTGGCTGTGACTGCATGCGCCCCGCGACACCCAGTACGGCGTTCCGTGGCACCACAGGGAGCTCCACCGAAGGCCCCAGTGGCTGTGACCACATGCGTCCGCGCCAACCAATATTGGTTTTCGTGGTCACGTAGGGAGTTCCACGGAAGGCCCTGGTGGCTGCATCGTTTCGTGACCCCATCAGGAGCTCCACTGAAGGCCCTGGCGGCTGCGACCACACGCGTTCGCGCCACCCAGTACAGCGTAGCGCTTCGCGGCCCCATCGGGAGCTCCACCGAAGGCCCCAGTGGCCGTGATCACATGCGCCCCGCGCCACCCAATACGGCGTTTCGTGGCTCCATCGGGAGCTCCACCGAGGGCCCCAGTGGCTGTGACCACATGCGTCCTGCGCCACCCAGTACGGCGTTTCGTGGACCCACAGGGAGCTCCACCGAAGGCCCCAGTGGCTTTCACCAGATGCGTCCCCGGCGCCCAGTACAGCGTTTCGTGGCTCCATCGGGAGCTCCACCGAAGGCCCCAGTGGCTGTGATCACATGCGTCCGTGCCACCCACTACACTCTGGCGCGGCCACGGAGGCAGTTCCGGAGTAGGAAGCTTAGGAGGAGGAGGAGGAGGAGGAGGAGGAGGAGGAAGGCACACACCCCTCACACGTTTTGTGGCCCAACAGGAAGCTCCACCGAAGGCCCCAGTGGGCGGTTACACATGTGCCCCCCCGCCCCAAGTCGGCACAGCCTTCGCACGCTTCGTAGCTCCATAGGGAGTTCCATCGAAGACGAGACTCACAACTGCGGCAGTCACAACTGTATATGGTTCGGCCTGTCGCCAGGCTACTGTTTTATCGCGTCGTTTGCGCGTGGTGGTGCTGCCTTTCCTCGGACGAGTCCTTCTCTGGCTCTTCGGGTGGCCTGGCTCAGATCCTCCCTGCGTGTCGAGATGCGCAGCTCCTCGAAGGCCGAGCCGCTGGCCCCCCTGCCCGACGCCGTCTCGAGAGGGCCGTGTGGCAGCCCGAGCACGTGGCGCCCAGAGAGCCCCGAGCGCGTGCCGCCCGCGGGAGGGGCCGCCCGCGCGCGTGCGCGCGCCCCAGCGGCGTGGAAGGCGTGCTTCTGTCCTCCTCCTCCTCCTCCTCCCCTCCTCCTCCTCCTCCTCCTCCTCCTGCTCCTCCTCCTCCTCCTCCTCCCCCTCCCCCTCCCGCGCCCGCGCGCGTGCACGCGCAGGTCGGCCGGGCAGGCCGGGGACCCCGGGCGGCTGATGTCAAAAGCAGTGCCGCAGCGCCCCGGCCTGCCTACAGGCCCACCCAAGGAATGTTCTAAGAGCCGGGGGCGGAAAAGAGGGGGGTGATGGCTAGGGGGGGGCAGGGATATCGCGGCGGGGGCCATGATGTTTCCTCAGATCCCATGGCGCCTCTTCTTGTTTCATGACGTCCCTGGCCCTCCCCCTGGGCCGCGCACATGCCGCCGGCCATGATTTGCACCCCCCCCTCTTGGACGCCCCCCTCTTGGCCGCCCCCGAAAGAGCCTTTTGTTGTGGTCTGCACGAGATGTTCGGAGAACATGTCTGGCCGAGGCTGTCCCGTTGTCACTCCTCGGAGCTACGGTCGCAGAGCCTGGTTGGTGCTATTCGCACATGTTTGGTGGGGTCCTCTGAGAGCCTATCCGTGGTAGGCCTGCGAGAATGCCAGGACGGCCGGCCCCTGCTCAGCTGGGGCTCCGCGCGAGAGGGGACATGGAAAGGCAGGCCTGCCGCAGAGGGAGGGGCGGAATGCATGGCGGCCACTCCAGTCCGTGCAGGCCTTCGGGAGGCGTGCTGTGGCCGGGGCACGAATCAGCAGGGCAAGCAGCGCCTCGGAGATGCACGCGAGGTGACGATGCGCCACCCCAGATCGAGGCCCCAACACATATCGGCGGCGCGGCGGGGGGGAGAAAGGAGAGGGAGAGGGCCCCGTCGGAAGGCGACCGGGCTTCTCGGCAGCCCTCGCGCCTCCTGAGGAGTTCTGGCTTGTCTCTTCGGGGAAGGCTCAGGGAACTTCTCGGACGCCCAGGGGACTTCTTAACCTTCTGCGAAGGCCTTATTCTTCTCACTTCCCCCCCTCGCTCGCCGCCGCCGAGCATGAGTCAAACGATGCTCTTTCGCTGCCGTTTCTCGGGCGAGCCACCCGCGGGCGGGCCACCGGCTGGAGGGCCACCCGCGCGCGCGATGCGCCAGCGGCATCGGCACCGCAGCTGGAGCGCCAGTGCACGGCCCCACGTCGAGGCCCACCCCGAGGCCCAAGGTACCAGTGTCCAGGTGACTCCTCCTCCTCCTCCTCCGCCTCCTCCTCTTCCTCCTCCTCCTCCTCTTCCTCCTCCTCTTCCTCCTTCTCCTCCTCCTGAGTTGGCCCACCGCTGGAGCCTCACCCGCGCGCGCGCGCGCCGGTGGCGTTGGCGGCATGCTGACGGACAGTGCGTGGTGCCCCCGTGCTGACCCCAGACTGCAAGCGGAACAATCGGTTGCCACGGTCCAGTTTTCGGGCGACCCGTCCGGCGGGTGGGCCACTCGCTGGACGGGTCACCCGTGCGCGCCGCTCGCCAGCGGCAGTCGGACCGCACGCGAGGCGGCAGAACCGCCACCCCAGGACGAGGCCCAACACATAAGCGACAACCTTTGTGGCTTTCCTTTCGTCGCCTCCGCCGCCGCCGCCGGTGCCACCACCGCCGCCGTCGATCTCGCCATCGTCGTATTCGTAGTCGTCGTCGTCGTCGTCGTCGTCGTCGTCGTCGTCGTCGTCGTCGTCGTCGTCGTCGTCGTCGTCGTCGTCGTCGTCGTCGTCGTCGTCGTCGTCGTCGTCGTCGTCGTCGTCATCGTCCTCGTCCTCGTCCTCGTCCTCGTCCTCGTCGTCGTCGTCCTCGTCGTCGTCCTCGTCCTCGTCCTCGTCCTCGTCCTCGTCCTCGTCGTCGTCGTCGTCGTCGTCGTCGTTCGTGCCGCGGCCCCGCCGCGCCTGGGCAGCCATGATGGCCGACCTCGCCCGGTCCTACGTCCTGGAGGCGCCGCCCAGGGGCCGAGCATCAGCGAAGCGTCCCTGCTTGCCTGTCTTGGGGGCGGCCAAGAGGGGGGTGATGACCAGGGGGGGCAGGGATATCGCGGCGTGGGCCATGATGTTTCCTCAGATCCCATGGCGCCTCTTCTTGTTTCATTACGTCCTTGGCCCCGCCCCTGGGCCGTGCACATGCCGTCGGCCATGATTTGCGCCCCCCCCTCTTGGACGCCCCCATCTTGGCCGCACCCGACTGCAGGCCCACCAAATAGTGTTCTAAGAACCTTTGGTAGTCTGCACGAAGTGTTGTTGGAACACTTCTGGCTGAGACTGCTGTCTTGGTTCAACACTTCGGGGATCTGCTGTGAGAGCATAGTTCTCGTTCTTGTAGCACTTCCTGGAATTCTGAGAACATGTCGTGGTAGACCCTGCTCAACGGGGGGACACGGGGGCGCCCTCCCCCAGCCCTCCGACTCAGACACGCTCGCGTCGCAACCCCAAAAAAGCGACGCGTGGTTTTGCACAGGTCTCTGGCCCCTCGGGGATCTCCCCGGGGCCCGGGGCCGACAAAGAACCACTCGCGGTGAAAGGCCGGCCCTGGGGAAAGAGGATCGGGACTTCTGGGGAGTCCGCCTCGGGAAAATCACGATGTCGCAGGTCTTGGGACGTCTCTGGAGGCCTCCTGGGGGGAGGGGGAGCAGGAGGAGCAGGAGCAGGAGGAGCAGGACCCAGACATCCGACGTCTCGTTTTTTTCGAGACGTGGGCCCCCGACTTCCCGACCACTTCCCCGCGACTGGTTGTCCGTCCCGAGTCGTTTCTTGACGGCCCCGAGGCCCGGCGAGGGCCCCGAGAGGCCGAAAGCGATGAAAAAAACCTCCCGTTTCGATGTGTTCGAGGCGCCCGATGCCTGGGGAGGAGAGCAAGGGGTAGGGGCTTCCTGGATTGCGGGCCACCGCGCTGAGCACGGAGGGGATCAGAGGCGACGATAAGGGGCGAATAGCCCAGGGGAGAGCAATACATGTATCCGGGGGCGCCGATGATCTACGTCTTCGTCACGGCTCCCAGGCGAATGCGCGTAGTGCCCGCCCCTGGGCTATTCGCCCTTATCGTCGCCGCCGAGGGGGAAGCCGAGGCTCGATGAGAGCCCGGGCACACGCGGCGAGGCCCGCAGGGAGCGACGCCCGTCTGTGCCTGCCGTGTGCCAATTGTATACGCCTCGGGAGGCCGGCGCCGGGACCAATTATGGAGCCCAGCACGAGTCGATTAGACGTGAGAGTGACCTCTCGCCGGAGTGACCTTTGGTGCGGGCACAGATGGGTCCCCAGATGGCTAAACACGAGGCAGTAGCAGCCGCTTGCGCGCCCAGGTTTGGCCCCCCCCCCCCCCGCGGCCCCAAAAAGTCGCGCACCAAGGTCACTCTTACCCAGGGTCACTCCTGCGTGTAGCCGAACGAGCTGTTGTCGAGTCGGGCCTGTGCCTCTACAAGTATGAATGTTTGAAGATACTTGGAAAAGTCTGGGGACACTTGTTTTGGTACTTTCCAATGTGTTTGACATGGGTTTGCTTATGTCTTAACCTTCGCCCACCATCCGCCTGTAGAGGGGGACATGCCCGACCTACGGCGATTGCCTGGGAGGGGCAGCCGGCCCCAGGGAGAGGGCCGAGAGCTCCGCGGCTCCGCGGGTATACACGCAAGAGTGGCCCTTCGCCAGAGCGGCCTTTCGGTGCGGGCCCATGGGGGTCCCCCGATCACCAAGCGCGATGCGATGGTGCAGTGCCGTTTTTAAGACATGCTCCGCGTGCGGATCATGTCTAAAACATGCTTGGATTTAGTATGGACAACAACGATGAGTTCATGCATACATTTATTCATACATTAGTCATGTATTATAAATCCCATATTTTAGAAACATCCGGTGTATTAAAAACTGCCCTGTAGCGTCGTGTGCGCTTGTCTGATGCCCCCCCCCGCGGCCCCCCGCAAGCCGCGCGCCCAAGGTCATTCCTACCCAAAAGGTCACTCTTGCGTGTAGCCGAGGGAGGATCGGGCCGGACGAAAGGGGGGGATTGGGACAGGGGGGGTTACGAAATTTCTTGCATGCAGCTGGTTTCGGCCTCACCGAGGGGTCCACTCCTCGGTACCTAGCCGCCTCCAGCGCTGGGAGGCGCCAGGAAAATCAGCTACGTGAGCTGATTCTCAACCCCTCCCGTTGCTATCCCCCCCTTTCGCCCGACCCGAGAAGAGCAGCCAGCCCCAGAGAAAGGGGTCGAGAGGTCCGCGTTTCCCCACTCCCATCCTTCCCCCTCGTACTCTTCCCACCTAGACCCCCTCGGGCCACGAGAGCATCACGACGGAGGGCGTTTCACTATTTTGGGGCCTCGCCGGGCCTCGGGGCCTTCCACAAAGCAGCCCAGGGCGAACAACCTCGGAGGAGCCGACGTCATGAAAAATTCATGACGCCGGGGGTCTGGGTATCTCTCTCCTGTCGCTCCCCCGCCTCCTGGAGAGCGATGTCTGTTTCCCCGCGGGCGATAGCGGGCGTTACCGGGGAGTGGCCGGGGGGACGGGTAACGTCACGTTTCCCGCTGGCGCCGTCTGGGGACGTCTAGGACTTGCAAGCGCCAGTCCGGAGGTCAGCACGAATCGTGACGTTCCACGTGCAAAACGCTTTCTTGTTTGACCAGCAGCACATGCGTGCAGGGTTGTCGTCTGGTCTCTGTTCCCCGTTGCCCAGCCACTTCCCACCAGCAGGGTAAGTGGACCAGGCACGTAGGTGAAGGAGGGGGAGAGGAGAAGGAGAAGGCGGAGACGGGAGAGGAGGATGTATCAGAGAAGGATGGGGCAGGAAGGACAAGGGAAGGAATGGGGAAGAGGAGGAAGGAGAGGAGGAGGCGGGAGGACGTGGGATGCCGGGGGGAGGGAGGAGGAAAGAGGGATGAGCCGGAGTCTGAGGATGGAGTGGGGTGGGACGCGGGCAGGGGAGATGGAGAGGGGAGGGAGGAGCGAAAAACGGAGGGAGTGAGGGAGGGAGGGGAAGGAGGGAGAGGAGGCCAGGAGAGCCAATCTGGTCAGAGTGACGGGGCCGAACGGTCATTCATTGTCCTTAGATGCGTGGCAGAAGGGGCGTTCCGTCCGGCGGATTAGATTTGTTGCGTTGTTGTTGTCGTCGTCTTAGCCCACGACCCGCCCGCGACCCACACACGACCCACCCCGCAACCCACCCGCGACCCACCCCGCGCCCGCCCCCTCACTCTTATCCTTAATTGTGGGGTGCCGCGTGACGTCTACCACGCATCTCCTCCCCATCCTGCCCATCCCTCTCCTGCCGCTGCTCCCGCCTTCTTGTTCCTCTCGCCCAAGCGCCCAGCTGACTGCCAGCGGCGGTGCGTTGCGTGTCTGGGCTCTGCGGCCGGGGGTGTGGCCGAGGAGCGGGATGGAGCCCTGCCCTGACCTGCACGGCCTCACTTGCGTGGGTGATGCGCTCACCTGCTGCAGAGGGCCGATGCTTTGGAGCGCAGGGGTGGGCCCGCTCCAGCCTCCTCCTCGATGTGCACTTTGGCGCACGCGATTGGCATCGTGGCAGCTGCGGGGCTCCCGGCTGTGCAGGCAGCGTGCGCTCCTCCGCGGCGCTCGGGGCGGGTCGGTCGGTCCTGCGGGCCACGGGGTGCAGCGCAGAGAGGCAGAGGGCCAAAGCGTTCCAGACGCGGGCGATGTGGGGCGGTTGTCTGCAGATGCCCGCCCTTGCCGTGCGCCTCCTCCCTCGCCTCCCCTCTCTCCCCCCAGCCCGCGACGTTCCAGATTCTTGCGCGCAGCCTGGTGAACTCACGTCCACGAGTGCTGGGCGGCGCACGCTGCCCACAACCTCTCACAGCAGATGTGCGGTCTCTCGAGGCAGCAGCCTGCTCGCGTGTCGCGCGGTGTTTGTGGAGCTGCAGATCACCCCCACACGTGCAAGGCCGAGCCCCATCCTATCATAGCTCCCTTCTCCTCCCTCGCACCCCCCCTCCCTTCTATCTGCCCTCTCTGTCTCCCTCCCTCCCATCTCTCCTCCGTCTGCCGCTCCATCCCTGCATCCTCCTCCCTCTTGGTCTCCCTGCTCCTCCCTCCTCCCCTCCCCTCCCCCTCCACCCGGTTTCCCTCCCTCCCCTCCTCTTCGTTCTTCGTCACGTCTCCTCCCGTCCTGCCCCGTCTTCTGCCCTCCCGTCCCCTCCCGTCCTGCCCCTTCTTGTGCCCCTTCTTCTGCCCTCCCCTCCTCTTCGTCCTTCATCACGTCTCCTCCCGTCCTGCCCCTCCCTCTGCCCCTCCCGTCCCCTCCCGCCTGCCCCTCTCCCTCGGCCGCGCTCCCCCCCTTCCGCCCGCGCGGGCGCCCGTGCCAGCACTGCTACCGCGGCTCCAGCGCCGTCTTCCTGAGGCGCGCCGGGGCGGCGGTGGGAGGGCCCCTAGGGAGGGAGACGCGAGAAGGGGGGGGGGGGATGCAGGAGGAGGACGCGGGACGCGCGAGGAGGCGGAGGA